GGCACGAAAAGTGCAAAAACGCATGATCGCACCGGCCCGCCTGGTGCGTTCCAGCCTGGGTTTTTTTTGCACTACGTCCTCAGAGCTTTGTCACTGAGCCAGCAAAAAACGTGAATTGAGCACCACATTATTTTCAGGAAGATAAATTTATGAGAATTCAGCTCGACGAGTTTGCGGAAAAACCAGAAGTACCTGAGCAACTTAAATTGCAAGAGCAAGTGCTGCAGTTAATAACTCCGCGTCAGTCAGTAGAATCGACGTTTGATTGGTATTTTCTGGAAAAGGCCAATGAGAAGGAAGAATTAGAACGACAAGGATTCCAGACTGGACAACAGGAGGGACCTCAGAAACGGGCTCCGCCTCTGAGCAGTCTGATCTCTCATCCGGATTCTGTCTGGGAGATACTACAGACTGGCCAGTTGCGACAACAACGAAATCCCGCTCCCCAAATTTTAGCTGGGCAGCAGTTTTTTTCAGAATCAGTTCAGCCGTCACGGCCGCCTGGTCAGCTACAACGATCACCTCCGACTGACCAGCGACAGCAGCCGGCTCCGCCTGAATTTTGCCAGCAGCAACCACAAGATCTCACTCATTTACCTTCAGTTAATCAGCATCTTCTTCAAGCACTGTTTCAATGGCAAGAACCACAACATTTGACTCATCTACCTTTGTTTAACCAGAATCCTCTTCACGCACTTTCCCAGTCTTTCCTGTCGCTAGGCCCTATTCCCTTATTTTTAGATTGTCTACTCCCTTTTTTAGGATCAACTTCACAGCTTCCTCTGTCGGTGCAGCCGTCGTTACCACTAGTGCCGGTTGCTTCAGCTGCAAGTGGTCAGTACAGTTCTTTAGAGCCGATTCAGCAGCTAGCTCGGCTTGTTGAATCAGTGCAACCGCAAAATGTGGGTTTTAATGTTCCGCGCGGCCCACGTCAAAGTCACCTACCTTCATTTAACCAGGAATCTCTTCAAAGACTCTTTCAATCGCACCTACCGCGAGGTCCATCCCTCTCATTTTTGTATAGTCAGCTCCCCTGTTTAGGGTCAATTTCGCAGCGATCTCAGTTAACGCAGCAGCCGCAACCACAGGGTTCGACTGCTTCAGCTGTAAGTGATCAGTACCGTTCTTTCTTGCTGAATCTGGCTGAATTTATTCAGTCATTGGAACAGCAAAATCGGGATTCAAGTGCCCCACGCGGTCCACAGCAGCAGTGAGGTCAAGTTGGTGGGACGCAACAGCGACGGAACAATTCAGCTTCCGCACCCTCAAGTGAATCACGCCCTATTTTATAGTTAATTCGCGGTTTGCCCTGGTCACAGAAGCCACGCGCAAAGGCCATTCCGGCCTCTCCTGCACGATATCTCCACCTTAAAGCTGCTGGTAGTCCAGCGCAAGCTTTTGATCTCTTTGTTGTGTTTTGAGCTCTGTACAGTTTGTTTTGTCACCACCTCAGTTTGATTTGTCGCATCAGTAATAGGGTTCGGATCCTCTGCTCAGGAAAAAAAACTGTTCCTTGTTTATCTACCATAATTTGTGCCAACCCTTTCAACCGTGGAACACGGCTCTCCTTTCTCCCTGCATTAATCATTTGCTTATTTCTCGTTATGTTGTTTTAAGTTTGACTGACATTAATTAATGGAAGATAAATATGTCGTGTTTAACGCCATCTTATCGCACACAAAAGTTCAAATCCCCTCCTTCGTATTTCGCTCTCAGTGAGAAGCGGAGGCAGCCATAAAGTAGTCCGAGTGGTAACAAATGCCAACAACAACACACGCTGGCAAGGCTATCGACGGCTTCCTCTTCTAAGGATAGCTTACCAGCAAGCTGATGGCAAGTTGGACTGTCTGCATATGCCACCACAAATTAACCCAGGCTGGAGCGCACCAGGCTTACCGGTGCGATCATGCGTTTTTGCACTAAACTCTGAGATCGCTATCAGCAGGAATGATCCCTACGCTGTAGCCTAACACTTGGGCTCACATTAGCCGTGCTTTGAACCTTTCCGGCATGCAGGAGGAAGGTTGTCAGTTGGGATGAAGGTGGTGCATTACAGAGCCGCACGGACCTCCAGGTGCATGATCATCGGGTTTTTGCATGACGTCCAGTCGTTTTTTCGGCAAATGCTCGCTTTGTGGAAAAATGACAAATGTAAATTTTTTGGAAAATGCAAATTTCCAGTTCACTAAAAAGTGTTTCCAGTTCACAACCCAGGCTGGAATGCACCAGGCGAGCCGGTGCGATCATGCGTTTTTGCATCAAACGTTGAGGTACTCCATCATTATTTCCCTGTCCTTGCCTCACCCCTCCACTCGCTGCTCTCGCCCCTCCCCCTCCCCCGCACCCGCCCTAGATATCCATCTTCTCCAAGCGGTGATATTGTGCTGCATTATACAGCACTATT